AACAAAAGACTCATTCTTCAGTTCCCAGAATGAGGATTAACAGGGACGCAGCCTTGCCTGGCATTGTCCTGCAGCATCAGATAATTGTGAGCAAGGCTCTTCATGAAACAGGTTTCACTGTGGAGGTACATATTTTTTTTTAGTGGTACGTGAAATACCTACCATTTGCATATAATTTTAAAAGTGGCCTTTTAAGACTGAATGGCTCAAACCCTGAACATGACTCTGTTGTTACCTTACTGGTCAACCACCAGTGGACTCTCCCATGTCACAGCGTATCTATAGAGATCATCAATACATTGTTCTTATTATTTCTCACTTTTACCTTGTAGATTACAACTTTCCAGATGTAGGGATCTATCAAAATGGCCTCATAAGTTCATTCATTCATAGGGATACTTCCTAGATGGATAGCATTGTTGTACAACAGGATGCTATGGATATGGATATTTTGGAAGAAAAATTGCAAGTCAAACGGAAAATTATATAAGAACATAAAAGTATTACATTAGGAATTATATTAGCATTTGTTAACCATAGTGCCCCAAATCAAAACCACTTTTTCCTCCCTTATCCTCCTTGGGGATTATTGAATAGATCAGCAAATATATTGGTCTTTAAAAAAATTGGATGTAACGTATGCAGTATTTTCTACTTAGATTAGATTTTCATGGGCAACAGAAGAAGCAAGTGAACCTTTTATTGATTGTCAGTTGGTGCCATTTCTATTGATCAAATTTAAATATAGGTCTCAGCAGCTGATGGGTTCAATTCGGACAAAACACGTGTTGACTCTCCGGGTTGTTTGCTCACTGTAGATGCCGACTGTTGTGGAGAAGGGGCTGTGCGTTGGTCTCCTTTGTCTCCGGGAGGATTGATTGACTGATGTTGTGTCTGCTCGCTCACAGCGTCTTTCTTGCTTAATTTTAAAAATTGTGACATAGTATCACATGCTCCGTGTATACATCATTTCTGGGGAAGAAACTTGTTTAGCCAATATGTCGGCTCAGTTTGTGAAACCCTCCCTGTAGCTTTCATTCAGCCTTCAGCGTGCTCCGTTAGGTCACGTCGTCCGTTTCATCCCACGGCACCTCGTCCCCAGCAGCAGAATTTCACATTTGGTCCTCTTAGGTATAAAAGGAATAAAATGCCTGACGAGATCTGTCTCTGGTAGGTATTTGAGAACCACCCCTATGCCACACACACACACACACACACACACACACACACACAGACACACACACACACACACCACCCTTTCTGGGCATAGGACAAATGCTACTAACGGGCACCTTTCGTTTTTAGAATACGGACAGCAGTACTCTGTGCAGCAAAAGACCTGAGCGATTAATGCTACCCTCATGCCTCTTTTGAGTAGTTTTAGCCATGGGGCTTGGCACTGCCACCGTTGTCTCTGTGCCAAAAACTATCCGCAGCGGCTGTCGCATTCTAGTACTGGAGGGTTGTCTCAAAAATTCCGCAGTGAGCACGCCGCTTGCTCATCACTGCTCTCCCTTTTAAATATTGAGGGGGAAAAATGGAATCTGGGGCTCTCAGAGCTGGGCTGTGGCGGTGGGCACGGCGGTGGGTTGGTGGTGGAGAATGGAGCAAGGAGGAGAGAGCTGTCTGCGCCAGTCAGTGGGTCTCAGGGACAGAAACCCATGCCCGACATCGAGGAAGCACAGATATGGGGGAGCTTTTGTGTGCCGGAGCACAGAGAGTTACTTAAGAATCATCCTCAAACGTACTATCAGCACTCCTGAACATTTTTTTTTTTTATTTCCAGAAACAAATGCTCCAGTGAATTTTTTAGCAGAAAATCAACATCAAGACCATAGCTCATTTTTGGTGGACAGTTTACACAAAGGATATGTTTATTTGCCTAGAAACTGGGGTGTCCCTGTAAAATGGCTGCTTGCTGTCATTAGGAAACGATAGGAATAGATAGGATACGTCGGAGAGAGCGCTTGGGTTTTATCCTCAGTCCCTGATTATTTTGCTCCCAAACGGGGGTTTGGGCTCTGAGGGCAGATTTATGGTTGAATTTGGGAACAAAAAGATGTAATAAAGTTAAAGGCTTACACTATCAGAATGAAATGTGTTCGCTCATGATCTCTGGAGCGATCTATTTGATGGTAAAAGTGGATGCTACAGATGAAATCTTTACAAGGAGCATAATCCAAAAAAAGAAAAGAAAAGGAAAGAAAAGAAAAGAAAAGAAAAGAAAGAAAGAAAGAAAGAAAGAAAGAAAGAAAGAAAGAAAGAAAGAAAGGGAGAGGGAGAGAGGGAGAAAAAGCAATGCACCCCCCAGCCTCCTGCTGGCTGCACTGCCTCTTTGGTACCTCGCAGACTTCGACAGAGTCCTGGACTGGTGCCCATTGATGTCATGGAAACACTCAAATTACTGAGAATGATTCATGTCTATGCTGGTCTCTTATCCTCCCCCACACAAACACGAGTAGATTTTTAACCCTGACAACTTGTAATTTGCAGTGGGTTTATTTTTGTATCTGGATAAATATTTTTTAACAAGCAAAATTAAGATTAAGCGGCCTGTATCTGATATGATAGTAAAGAGTGCTGGGCCTGGTAGCCCGGAGTACTTTGGGGACTCAGTGCAGCGTGAATTCATATTCTTCTCATCTCTCCCTCCTCCTTCTCTCCCTTCCTGCCCCCTTGCTTTTCCATCCCACTCTCCCTCTCTTTATTTCTCTCTTCTCTTCTCTCCTCTCCCATTTATTCTCATTTCCCTTTTCTCCTTCCCTCATCTGTACTATTTACACTGACCTTCTAGCTTCAAAATAATGGAGGAGATATAGCTTTAACTTGTATATATATATATACATGAATTGAGGCAAACCCTGGTGAGAAAATTAATCTCTGAGGTCCGTGTGCTGGACTCAAGTAGGGGAAGAATGCCAGGTGGTGAAATTCTATAGGGGATAAATTCAGTAATTCCTTCTAGAGAGAAAAATAGGTAGTCTTTCTTACTTCAAATTGTATTTTACCCTTCGGTTTTTAGAAATTAGCAAAGCAGGTTACTAGATGTTCCATTTCCTAGGAAGTCAGAGCAAATTCTACCTCATCTATTCCTTTACCTGTCATCTGTCTTTCTGCCTGCCTGCTTGTCTGCCTGCTTGCCTACATCTTTGCCTGCCTTTTTAGTTGTTAAACAAGTGAGTATTGTGTCAAAGTGAATTATGGTGTGGTTGTATGGACGGAAGGACATGTGCCATTCGATAGCTTAGAAAGGTCGAGTCTTTTTCTGTTAGTAATATTGGTAGGGAAGCTAAGGGGCATCTATAGGTTATATTTGACTTACACAGAAGTGTAGATATGTATGCATGGGCATTTGCACTGCTGCACAGGTAAATGAGGTTTTTTTCCTTCAGTGTAAAATCCTCATATAATTAAAGTTATTTTCTTAGATGTCCCAAGAGTTATAGTGTATCTGTGAGATGATATCCTGTTCCATAGGAATTGAACCTGATATAGACATTGATTTTCTACTTTGCACTAAACAATATACCAGAAATGGGTGGGGGAATGTTTTCCCGAGTTTGAGATTCTTTGGAATCAGTAGAAAAGTTAATGCTTGGGGAGAGAGAGTTAATTTTAAGACTCAGGTTTGGCTTTCTTTGAAAAGCCATCTTCAATTACACACACGCGTGCGCGCGCGCACACACACACACACACACACACACACACACATATATATATATATATATATATATATATATAGTGACTTAGATACAAGGTGCACTACTTTTGGTCAGATATAAGATTTATTAAAGGCACCTTCTTTGTGTAATATCACAAAGGAATGCACTATTAGCACTATCACCAAACTAAAACATAAAAAATGACCACTGTTCCTTTACATATTTGCCATACCTTGGCTTGAGGGGAAATTGAGGTAGATACCATTCAGTCCCTAAAAAATACTAGTTTCCAATTTTCTCATCAAAAGAAAGAATAATATAATCCTAGGAATCAAGTATAGTGTTCCTTAAAATTCTGTTCTCCATAAAAGAAGTATCCTTCAGTCTCAGGCATTTGCATTCTGGGTACTTGGCTGTCCCTAGACCTTTTTAATGTGTGGTCTGGGTCCATTTTCTGTGATAACTCTTCATGTCACTCACTAAACTCTACTGCTTAGACCTCTTGTAATGTGGTTTCATTGTCTTTCTTGCTGATCATTAAGGCTAGCCATACTTGAAAAAGAAACAAATGAGCAGCCTTGATTACATCCTTAGCTGTGGCCAAACAGCTTCTGAGGCTGCATACGTCTCTGGATATAGAAGCAAGGTTGTTAGAATTAGAACAAGATATTCACATGCCATTATCCCATGTCCTGCCGAGTATACTGGTAGAATCTGAACTTGGGATCAGAGTGGGCAATTTTTCAAAGCCCTCTTTTCCAAATGTAAATTCCATCATCATTTTGGTCACGATGGAATTTACTCCTGGGAAAGGGAGTTAAAAAAAAGAGAGAGAGAGTGTCTCAGAATTTTGAGTAGTTTCTTTTGCTGTACTCACCATCTGGAAAGCCTTGATTGATTAGCTTTGGCCTCCCCATTAAGTGTCAATATAATCAATGGGAATTCCTGGACGAGGGTGATTACATAGATAATTTGCCTGCTGTGTAAATAAAAATGAAATTGTTTAAATTTTGTGAGAGAGAAAGCAAGTGAAAATAAGAAATGACAATTTGTTTGTTAGAGAAAGTGGAGGCCCTTGGAATGACAGTTTTTGGGAGTGTGGAGCTGTTTGGCTAAGAATAGGAACGAAGGATATTTTTTTCCAGTTTATCATAGCCGGAGTGAGGAAGTGTTATTCCCTCTCTGCTTGCATACTAGTACATTGCCAGTAGTGCCTACTTTACGTATGTAAACATCGGGGAAGAGAAGTAGATGTCTATTACCTGGAAGCTTTTTTTTCCTTTTTTTCTCAAGGAAAAAAACCATTTACACTTTTTTTTTGTTTGTTTCTCTTGGCAGGTAAAACAGAAAGGGGCTCATATTCATCTTATGGGAGAGAATCAAACTTACAGGGTTGCCACCAGGTAAGTGAGGATCTCGTCAGGGGAAGGGTTGGGAGAATTAGCCTGGTACTTCGGTTTATTTTACAAATGAGATGATGCATTTTGGACTGTGACACCAAGATGCATCGAGAGCCTGCCGATGCCTCTTTTCATTTAAAAAGTGATGGAATAGCACAGAGCTTGGAGGTCACAGGCACCTTCATCGTTAGCTCTCTGGCATATCAGGACCACATCCACTGGCTTGCTTTTATTTTTTAATCCATCAACCCGTGTTTGCAAACCAGCGATGTCGGTGAAAGTGTTCCATCCAAAGAGTTTATTTGCAATTGAGAACTTAAGAATTTCTTCCACTAGAAATGCTTCGTGCAGCCATGTGTCAAACCCTGGGTTTGGTGGCTACTGCCCTAAATTATAGTTTTCATAGGGGCTGTATGATGTTGTGTGAAAACAGGGCTGTATTGAGGGATAAAAATGTCTGTGAAAATATGATTTGTTGTCCCTTTTTGTTTCTGAATTGTTTTTGGCTGGAAGTCAAGGCCAGCAGGCTAACAGCAAAGCCGTCTCAAGGGAAGCACGCGTGAGCTAGAAAAATAAGAGTACTTTAATTAAATAATAAAATGCCAGTGTAATACAAAGGTATAGCATGTGTGTGTTTGTCTCTGTGCACCCTGCATTTGCATACCTTTAACTCTCCAGAGAATGCCCGGTTCTAAAAATACTATCAGTAGCCAAAAGTGTAAGCTTTGTTTCAAGACAATTGAGATTTTATAGAGGCTTTCTTTTTAATTTCAGTATCAGTATTAATCATATGTTTAAAACCCTTTTTTTAAAAAAATTAAGATGTAGGGTTTCTTCTTACAAGTGCATTGGCTTCTTTGGGGGAAAAAAAACAAACTCTTGATGAAATTTAACAATCCTCTTTAATATTCAAAGCTTTCTACTGTTTTATTATTCACCCAAACAGAACGTATGTTCTTTTTGTGCTGGGAAGGGAAAGCTTGTTCTCTTGAACTCTCTCCCCCTCCCATTTCCTTTAATGAAATGGGGAGGGGGGAAAAATCTATTTAAATGTTTTTTTTTTAAACAACTGTGTAATATGTTCTGAAAATGTAAGCAAACAGTTTTCGTAATGAAATAGAGCCCCTGAAGGAGGTTTGCTTTTCAGATCCGTGTTACATATCACTAAAGGTGGGATTGGGGGCGGCGTGGTTTCTCCTGGATGCATTTGCATTTTTAAAGTTTGCTGCTTTGGCCCAGCCACCAAATGCAGTCAGATTCAGCATCTGAAAGACTGGTGGGAGGAGGTGAATGGTGCCCGGTTAGGGAGCTCCCTCCGCTGCGAGGCTGCAGAGGACAGTCCCGGGAGTTTGTTTGGAAAGAATTCTGCAGGAAAGAAATTTACAGTCCTTCCAACGCAGCAACGGAAACATCTTTGGAATGTGAGTGCAAATGTTCGGGGTAGATAGCCAGGCGACAAGCCTCTCCCTGTGCCGAGTCTCTGGTGTAAAGCTCTCAATTCCTGCCCAAGAGCCTGTTCCTGTGTATCTGTTTTCCGAGGGGTCAAGGCAGAGGTCGTCGGAGTTTTGGGGAGAAGAAAGTTGACAACATCCTTCCTTTTTGCAGATGGTCATGGCAGAGGTCTCTGTTTTTGCCGGGCCTCTCTTTCTGGTCAATGAGAGAATAGGCTTCCTCGCCCCTGTATCCTTTCTTACTAATAGGAATTGGCGTGATTCCTCACAGACACAAAGATTTCCTCTGCTGAGTAAGCGTGAGGCCCCTTAACTTGGGAAAGCATCATCCAGACCGCGCGAGTCGTCTGTGTGTGTGCAGGGACACGGACCCTCCCTGGGCGTGTGGGAAATACTTCCCTCGGGTGAGACTGGAGTGAATTTTCTTGGCAGACGCAAGGTGAGAAGTGGGAAGGGGCAGAGGGTGGAGTGCAGAGGTGGATGGACTGGCATGTGACGGCTGAATTTCTGGGCCATGGGAGGTTCGTTTTTGAGACATTTCGCGTCCAGGGAAACTCTGTTGTGTACAAGAGGAGGCTTTTTTCTTAACAAGTCTTCATCACGTAGGTGTGGAGGGTAGATGCTTTCTTTCTTATTTCTGCTTCATGGTTGTGAGTCTTGTAGGAACTGACTATCTGTTTGCTTAGCCTGGTCTCAGCAGTATTCATAAACAGTGTGATCACTTTTTGGAAATTCCCTGATTGAGGAAATAGGGGCCGGAGGTGCAAAGGGCACATATTATGAATTCCTGCTCTCTGTGAAATTTGAGAATAGGGCAGACCCTCGTGGGTCTCCCAGTGAACGAGTCTCTCTCTCTGGTGCCGAATTGTTCTTTGAGTCCCTGTCTGCCACCCCAGCTCTGCAGACCAGAAAGAAAGGCAGCTTGTCTGTGTCTTGGGCTTCAGGTCTCAATAGCAGATCACAGCTGAAATGACTCCCCACGGTGTGGCCAGGTGAGCGCTGCGCGTGGAGGGGGAGCTTTTGTTTTCTCCCGCCTGCTCCCCTCTAGAGACACAGGACGCAAACCCTTTAGATGCTATGCCCTTAAGGAGCGCCGAAAGCAGCTTTATTGTATTATCACAATATCCCGTGGACGTGTAGGGCGAGCACCGTTACATGTGAACTTGCTTATTCCAGTCCCAGAGGCCTTTTGTTTGGTGTAGAGAAATGCTGGCGGTGAGCAACAGGTAGCAAAATGCTGTCCTGGAGAAATGGCTATTGATTCCGAAATGCATCAGGTTAACGCTTGTGCCTGTGAGTGTCCATTATGTTCCTCTGGAGGAGTGAACACTAACAGTGACAGGCATGTGGCTTTCAAAAAAAAAAAAAAAAGTTCGTATTTTAGCCGAAAAACAAAACCGGCAGGTTTTTATTTATTTATTATCAATTAAGTTGTTTTCATTAAAACTAGTAATGAGATGATGCGAATTCATTAATGCATCCCTACATAAAATTATCAAACAACAGCCTGTGACTTTACAGACTTGAAATTGTATAGAAAACTTCCAATATTCAAAACCGAAGCGGCTAAAAGGACTTTTTTTTTTTTTAAGTCCTCACTAAATATGGCAAAACTAATTTAAATCAAATTGGGGTACGGAAATCACACCCAGGCTTAAAATGTTCTTGCCAAATTACAACCTCATACTACTTTTACTGGCAGAGAAAATAAAATTTATAATGGAAAGTCTGACAGAAATGAAAATGAGCGGAAATAAAGTTTTTCTCAAGATAGTCCAACTTTCAAATGATAAATAGCCAATAGTGATGAATGGGCATCACTTCAGAGGAGAAAAGCGAAAAGAGGTCCTTTGCTTTTGGCCTTTTTTTTCCTTTTTTTTTTTTTTTCTGCTTTGAATAGGATGTTTGGTGATGACAAACTTTTTTTTTTTTTTTTTTTTTTAATCTCGTTGGGATCTCTGTGAATGAGGTGATGATGTCAACACAAGTGATTGTTATTAAGGTAGAAGTTTTCCCCTTAAATGGACATCCAGCATTGATTATCAGGACTTGTTTGTCTTCTCTTTCTGGGATATGGCCAAGTCTAAAGCAATGGTTTCATTATTAGTATCTCCTGAATACTAAGGGGAGGGTGTGGGTGTGTGTGTGTGTGTGTGTGTGTGTGTGTGTGTGTGAGAGAGAGAGAGAGAGAGAGAGAGAGAGAGAGAGAGCGAGCGCGCGTGCATGAGCATGAGCTGGGCCCTTTCTGAGACTAATTAAGTTAGAGTCTTATTAGCTGGACATTTGCTTTTCTTATCTCTCAGGTGATTCCAATGTGCAGCTGGGTTAGGTGACTTTCTAGAATGTTCTATAGGAATAGGCTCTATTTTAAAGATTTGTGTCCAAAATCTGGAATTGCCACTGACCTTGAAAAAGCTTTTTGATTTCTTGCCTTAATTTGATTATTTAAGACATGTAAATACATTGCATATGTACTTCATTTAACAAGCAGTGAAAATTACTGCTATGTTGAAAATCAGTAGATGCCTTGAAATCTTTATACAGAATTCCACAGCTGAACTTCCCGGTTCGCATCTTGTTTTCTCTGGGGAAGTCCAAGGCTCTACCCTCCTCTACATTCTTTATCTTTTTTAAGTAATCAAATAGGACTGCGCTGATAAAGTCATGTCAGATGTGTACATCTGAAAATGGACAGGGTTTAAGAATTTGGCCTAATCTCGAAGACCTTTGTTAGATTTCAATAACCGAAGCTTTACAAGAACGGGGTCTTCTCTATATTTCATTTCACTTCCTCATAAATCTAGTAATTTTTGATGATTGAACTTAAATGTGGAGTTGGTTCTGAAACAAACTACATATTTAAGGATGAATTTTTTCTTTCAATTATTTTTTTTTATATGGAAGGAGTTACAAATTACTTAATTCTAAAACTTTTTGGCCCCTTTAATTTTTTTTTTTCTTATTTAAAGTCAAAATGGAAAGGATATATGCAAGAAGGCATAGAATAGAACCCCCTGTCTCTTTTTATGAAAATGGCTGTTAGGCCTTGTGTGCACAGAAACACGTTTGGTTTCTAATCTGACATCAGGCTCAAATGTTAGTTCCTGGCGAGCAGCAACCCGGTCCAGTCCTTGCGTTCTTCCTGGGACCCGCTCCCCCGGAGCTGCCTTACGCGCTGCCTGTGCACTGCTTAGCGCTCCGCTTCACTGCATAGCGCTTTTCCTGCTTGGCATTACTTATGGTTGTTGAATTCTGGGTTCCACCTGAATTCTTGTGAGCTCCCAGAAACAGGGGCCACGTCAGTTTTCTCATGTATTGTGTGGACCCGGGTTTATTTCCCCATCATTACTCTTAGGCATCATTTCGATAGTAGAGTCTGAATAGCGATGCATAAGCACCACGTTGTAAGCATCATTTTCATGCTTATGGGAACCAGAAAATCATACTTTTCATAAGAAAGTTCTTTGGAAGCCCTTCCTTGTAACTTCTATGGAAATGTCTTTAATAGCTTTTTTTTTTGGGGGGGGGGGTCATTATGTGTAATATTTGGTT